ATATTTCTGTGCGACCAAAACAGTGGGGGGGGGGGGGGGGTGGATTTTTTTTTTTTTTTTGTGAAGCTTCGCCTGTGTATTTCTCGCAGGGGAGCTGGTCGTGTTTCTGCCCCGAGCTGCTGAGGCACCTTACGGTGCCCCCCAGGCCAGCCAGAGGCCCGAGCTGACCCCGTCTGGTCCCCAGCACAGGCCGAGCGCTCTGCGGGAGCTGCCTCCCTGCTTGTGATTAGGCTGGTAGCTCGTTAAACGTAATACATCAATAACGTTAGTGTGATAACACTGTCTACGAGCAGCAGTATATTGCTTTATGTAAAGACCCGGGGAAAAATAAAGGTATTTAGTCAAACACATGATTTCTCTCCGACTATGGTTATCTTTAGGGATCATGAAATTCTCAGGGTCTAATCCTATAATCCTTGTGAGTGCATGTCATCCGTAGTCATGCAAGTAATACCATTTCTCTCATTCCAAGTTGTTATTGCTCCTAGGTGTATCCAATTTCCTGCGAAATGTTGAAAGGCAAACCCTCTGAAGAAGTGAAGATGAAATACCCCTGCTTTTGCCCAAGCAGAGAGGAATGGGAAGCAATACGTGTGGTATGTGAAGTGGGAGTGTACATATTGGTTGCAAATAAGCATACGTTTGATCTAAAAATTGTACGCGTTAAGGCCAGGAAAACTATGGGTGCGTGAATAAATTGTTAGTAAGTCTGGTTATTTCAGTGAACCAATTTGCAAACGTACTGAAAGGTGACTGCAGGAGAAAACACTGCTGCACAAATGCATGAATTCTTCCTACTTTATAAGAAAAAGAAAAGTCTGCCTGGAATTTAATAGAATTTTAAATTGCAGCTGAGCCAAAATCTAGTGCGTAATGAATATTATGCCCTCAAGTTATTAGACTGACTTGAAATGTTTAATTTAAGATAAATTTGGGATGAATTAAAGCATCACCTCCAAGGGCAAGAGGAATGGGAACAAAGAAAAGCAGTGCACTATTCCTTAATGGAAGGAAAAGGGAGGAGTTAGTCTGGACACTTTGTAGTTGCTCCTCTCCTGTGTATTTTCTAGGAGACAAAGCTCACGCCTCACAAGAGTGAATGTGTCTAATGTTTCAAACTGATGAAGGGCTCTAATGGAAATGTGGGGCAGTCAGGAGCAATAAAAAAAGATTTCAAAGAGCTTGTAGATTGCAACTTCTTCATCGGTTATTTCTTCTTCCATTAAATGGCATCTGCCTGTGGTAGAAAAATGACAATTAGCTTAAAGACTGGTTCTAACATCACACATTTGGACCTTGCAAATATCCAAATTCAATTGCAGATTTGCTTGAATGAAAAAAGCTAAAGAATACAATGACCCTGTGAAAAGTGGCACGTTGCCACATTCCATTCAAATAGTTGCCTGTGATGAGAGCTAAAGGATTCCTCTTTCAAAAACTGCATTATATGAGAGCTGTAGTGCTTAAATGTGTCAGATAAACAAAATATTAACTGGAGCTTCTAGGTGTTACTGAAATAAGTTGTTTATGTTAATGCATATTAGCAGGACTTATCACCACCAACAGGATGTTACTGGAAAAACAAAGCAAACAAAAGTGGGTGGTGTTTAATAACTTTCCTAGAGGTGGCAGTACTTGAATAAAAGCCAGGAATCCAGTTCCCCATGCTGTCTTATCGTCTCCTGATAATTAAAATGGTAATGCAAAATGTAAGTCCTCTGTGCAGTGTGAAGACCGAATTGACACAACTCTGGAGTATCCGCTCTGTGTAGAGGGAAGGGAGCAGTGAGAAGGGAAGGTTGCCTTACAGGTGCCAAGCTGTCTCATGCTCTCAGAAGAGCCGCAATCAGATCATGTTATGACCACAGCAGAGCTTGCAAGAACTTTTCTGTATGTGTGTATCTACCAGTAGAACAGACTGCAAGGATTTAACTTATTGCTACTACCCTTCATTTTAAAATCCAGCCCAAACTTAGGAGACTTATGGCAGAAATACAAATTAATGAAAAAAAAATAAATAGATTTTTACGTGAAGGATGTGTACAGCCCTTGGCCATGTGCCAGTGGTCCGTACTGAAGAAGCTCCAGCCCTGGCATTTGTTGGAGCTGAAACTGCAGGTCTGTGCTGGGGAAAGCCACAAAGGGAGGTGAAACTTGAGAGGCTGCGTATGCTGACGGGTGCCTCCCTCGTTGGCATCACCACTAGATGTCAGTGCCTGAAACCTCTTCTTCACCCTGAGCAGGCTAGCGAAATTGGGAATCGGCTTGGGAAGAGAGGGAGCTATTTCTTCAGGGTGCAAAACTGGTGTAGCTTCTGCTTACCAGAACTTCCACTGGGGTTTGGCTCCCTTTAACAAGGTCCTTAAGACAAAATTGCAGTCTCGTAACTCTGTGAGACTCTTCCAAGTAGGAAATTAGGAATTTCCTCACGCTACACCAGAAGAAAGTTTAGCAAGTGCTTGATGACTTGGAATTTCATTTTAAATCACACAAAAGTGATTTTCAGTTTTTAAATCCTCAGTTATTGAGTATATGTAGGTGCCACGTTGCCACTGATGTCAGCAGAGTTAGCTACCTGAAATCTCTTGGCCGTGAGGATCTCACTGAATCTGTTGAAATCTCTCTAGGCCTTTAGCCTCACTAAAACTCTTTGGAACTTAGGCTTGGGTACATTCACTGTTGTATTTTAAAAAAAAAAAAAAATCTCTTGCTGGATCTTAGAAAATATAGGCAATGAAGGGAATTTTCACCAAAACCAATCTCCATAAACAGGTACAGCCATCAACAGGTTGAAATTAGGTTTAGAACTCTGATCTCCTGCTTTCGTTCCCACTTGCTCTGGAGACATGGCATTGAGTGAGCTGCCTATGGGATCTTAACATAGCCATCGCTTATATTAGTGATAATATAAAGTAAGCTAGCTTATGTAGGAATTGTTATGAAGCAGAAGTGATGCTTGTAAAGTACTTCAGGTTTTTCAGCTGCTAAGTGCTTTATAAATGTTAAAGCGTTCACTTTCATTGCTTTGTGTGTTATTTGCTATGATGCATGCCTGCAGGGCTACTTAACCGTGTTTTAAGGCAAGTGAGAGAAATGCTATATAATGAAAATACACTATAAAAAATATCTGAAGTGCTGTACTTGAATAAATCTTACTTGCTTTTAGGTATCGTCTCAATCCAGCTCTGGGGCCTAGGGTTACAGAACGACTAGGATAATGATGAAGTGCTGCAAAAATCCAGAGCGCTGTTATCCAGGACGGCTGCTTCTTTTGCTTTCATGTCTTCAGAAGGTGAGTAGAGGTGGCTTCCCTCTGGTTTGGGTTCCAGCTTAATGTTTTTAAATCGTTGGTTTTTAGGTGTGATAGGTCTGGGCAATAAGAGCAGCATCAGAGAACCTCTTGACCCAAGCTTGAAGAATTCCTGATCCAATTTGAGGTGTCTCATAGATCCGTATGGGAGTGGGTCACTGTCCCTCACAAGGGCACTTTTGCTATAGAGTAGCTGAGGGCTAGCTGCTGTTTGCTAGCTGTATTTTTGGACAGGGCCTGAGCAACCTGATCTACGTTGGCCTGGCTCTGAGCAGAGGTTGGAGCCTAAATTATTCTGACTGTCACCAGCTGAGAAGCTTGAACTTGGTTCTTGACAAAGTATAGTCAGTGGTGTGCAAACAGGTTAAAGGCAGATACGTGCGTACAAATGGTAGAAAGTGCAAGGCACGGAATTTAACGTGGCAGAAGATCTGCTGTGGAACCTGGGCTAGCAATGAGCTTGGCCCTGTGTATTTTTGAGTCTTGACTTCTGTTTGCAGCTGAAGAGGCTGGCTCTCCAGTGGGCCTTGGTACGCTTCAGAAGTAAACCCAACAGCAATGAACGTATTTAATTCAGACAATCGTAGTGCTGAAGCTAGTCTAGCCTGTGGGATTTATTTGCAGATTGGCATAGCATTTTTTACTTTAACATTAAAAAAAAAAAAATCCATCAGCTGTTGCATGTCAGGAGGACTTCAGTTTTGAGAGGATGTGTTTGCAGACAGTTCAGCAAACAGCTGGGGGGGTGTTTGGGTTTTTTTTTTTTTGTTTTTTTTTTAAAGCCTGAAGCTGGTTTAGATTTGAATGGATACTGACTTGTAGTTAAATAGTCACAGAAACCCCTGTATGGAGAATCGTGGCCAGGTACCATGCATTGAGCTGAAGATCTTGCAGAACACAACTAGCTGTAGATGGATAGGGGTGTTTCAGTAAACTTGAACAGAATCCATGCACTTGCTCTT